AGGATTTTAGTGTTCCTGTTGTGAACTATTGAGGATGAATTGCTCCAGAGCAGCTGCAGCTACAGAGATCAGTGAGGGATTGGTTTGTTTTAGCCCTCGTTCACACCTGACCGTTTTGTAGCGCGTTCTACGCTCGACGAACGCTCTACAAAACGGTCAAAAATATACATTGCATTGTAGTCAATGGTCTCGTTCCCACCTTGGCGTATTTCCGCCCGTCCCTAACGCCCTACAAAACGGCCCACGCCTGAAAAGGTCCCGGGACTACTTTGGGCCGTTTTGTAGGGCGTTTTCCATTGGGATACAGCCAAGTAGCCTTCGGAATCGCGCGACAGTTTTACCGCGCGACCGACGCGCATATTCAATACGCCAAGGTGTGAACCCAGCCTTAATGCTCATTGACTGCTTGCTTATTGCTTGTGAACATGCGTCAATGTCTACAGCTTGGCCAGGGGGTCCCTTTAAGACTAGTGGGGCGCTCAGCAGTGTACAGCAGGTGCTGCACAGAAACTCTACAGGACTCTGGAATACATTTGTTCCGTTGTGTGATCTTCCTCGCGGTGGTTTTGGTTGTGTAATATTAGGCCCATCTGCGGGGTAAACCATGCCCTTTCTGTACCTTCTATTCGGAGAGAGGTTTCCATTCTAGATTTAACCCTTGAATTGTCATATCAGGCCAAACTGCTCGAGTCTCTATGCATTAGATACATGGAGTTATATTTCATGGCAGTCATGCCTGTAACTGTCAGTCTTGCAATGCCTCATGGGAATTGTGGTTCCACAACAGCTGGGGGGCCGAAGTTGCCCACCTGTGTTTTAATCTATATATCCAACTGATGGCCAATGCAGCCCAGGTCCAGATAGCGTTGTAATAGGAATACACAGGGCTTGAAAAATGTTAGGGTGTCTCACCAGTCAGTCAAAAATGTCACCAGTCAGCATGACCGGACTAGAGCCTTGTAATTTATGGTAACATTTTTTGGGGACGCATAGAGTTTTTTTTCTTTTTGGGGGTATTTAATCACCACTGGGGAGGGAGGGGGGTTATTTTTTACTGTATAATGAAAAAGGTCTCGTAAATTTCAAAGAAGAAAAAAGTTTTCTCTACGTTATGTTAAAAAACATTTATTCTTACCCATATTTTTGGTAAAACATAAAAGACAGGTTCACGTCGGGTAAATAGACACCAAACATGTCAAGCCTTAAAATTGCGCGCGCGCGCAAAATCGCAAAAAACGACCACACCGAAAATTTGCCATAGGGGAAGCTTTAAAAGCTTTTACCGCTCATCAGTTTAGTGTTATCAGTGATTGATGGCCCTAAAATTGTTGCTCACTCCGACATTCGCGGCGATATGTAACATGTGCGGCACAATCGTTGTTTTGGCACATATAGGCACACCCGACGCATGTTTGTGTGTGTGTGGGGCGGGGGACTTAAAAAAAATTGTTTTTGTAATTTTTTTTATGGCTTTTTTTTTTACACTCTATTGCTATCACATAGGGGGCTAAGAAGCTCTCTATGTGATAGCCAATTTACATGACAGGTCCTCTTTATGGAGACATCAGGGGTCTCAAAGACCCTTAATGTCACCTAGGGACCCCCAGAGAAGCTGATGAAGCACAGATCTACTCCACCAGCTTCTGTAGCTGGATAGTGACAGCATAACCGGCCCTTTGAGGGTAACCATACTGCTGATGCGGCCCCCGATGAATTTGAGTTTGCCACCCCTGGTCTAGATGGATACGGTTATTAGGAGTGGGATAGAATTTTTGGAAATACAATATTGGAAAACATATATTTATTTTTAGGTTTGACCTTAAGCCCCCAATGATTTCCTTTTTAACATTAAACAAGAACTCTGGCCATAATTAATCTTTAACCCTTGCAGTGTAAGGGTTAAGTGCTTATTTTCATCTCAGGTGCACAACAGTTATACTCGTCTGAACCTCTGACCTGGCTGGCTGCTAGACCGGCCCCTGCAGCTCCTCTCCCCCTCCACCCCAGCAGTCCTGTGAGTTGAGTCATCACATCCAATATAGTGCATAGGACGTGAGGATGCAGAGGGAGATTTCATCGCCGGTGCAGTGTAGCAGCCAGCCGAGTCTGAGGATCAGGGGAGCTTATCTTGGTTATTTTCATCCTTAGACCAAAACAAGCAATTAACCCTTGCAGGGCTCATGTAGTCTAGGGGACTCAAAGCAGAGCCACTCACATCAGTCCCACTGGGCTGCTAGACCCGTCCTTGCAGCCTCTTCTCCTCTGAACTCCAGCAGTCTAGGACATCATCACATCTTATGCAGGTCCATTGACTTCCATTAGACGCGAGGACGCTAAGGGACACTCCACAGCCTGAGTGGAGGGAGAGAGAGGTGAGCGCTGACCCCCATGGGGCAAGCATCAGGTGAGTAAATCTGCTTTTTTGAGCCCCCTAGACAAAATGAGCACCAAACCCTTGTAGGGCTGCAACTAACCATTATGACAGGTTCTCTTTAAGGTGACATTAGGTGTCTATTGGACCCCTAGTGTCACCTTTCCACTTCAAAGAAGCTGTTTAAGCAAACATTGGGGTGAATTTATCAAAACTGAAGCAGCCGCACATGGCAATCAGTTTCTCTCTTGAGTTTGTTGATACATTGTATCTCTTTGGTGAAATGTATCATAAACATCGGGCTATCGAGCTGTCAAAACGAACAGCAGAGGCCACCAAACCTTCAAGGCCATGATCATAAAAATGCATTTATTAGTGTAAATTAATTTGCTCTTAAAGGGACATTACCCCCTCCTCCTGAGTTTTTTAACTCCTTCATGACAGCTAGTTTTCAGTTTCTGTTCATAAATGACTGACACACTTTTTACATTTTTGCTGTGATTCTTCCAAAGCAGTAATATACTTTCTTACTAAATGTACCCACTCATATTATATATAGTTTTTGATATAAACTGACAAGAAAAACTTTTTTTTTCTTGTCGGTTTATATCAAGCAGTCACTATGACTGCTTGATAAATTCACTTTTTAAAAAAAAAAATTTGGCTATTAGGCTGATCCAAACTTAGGAACAGCTAATAATAACCTTAGAGACTGATCCTGACTTTAGTCAGATTCAGATCTCCCTAAAAGCTCTTTGATCGTGCCTAGATGATCAGAACTGATACATTTCACTCAAAAGATATACATTGTATCTATTGAGTGAAATGTATCTAAACATCGGGCTCTCAAGCTGTCAAAACAAATAGCAGAGAGGTGAGGTGAGTCACTGCTGCCTCTCTGCTATTTTCAGCTGTCAGATACGGGATCGCAAATTGCGGTCCTGTATTTGCATGTAACGGCTTCATTCTTTCATTACTGAAAGGAAGAAGCTTCTACAAAAAGCTTAACTATTTCATTAATGGATGCCTCAATACTGAGACATTAATGACTGGTAACTGCTGAGAATCAGCAAATACCGGCATTACAAAGCCTGATATAACTCGTCACGTACAGTGTACGTGGCCAGTCATATAGGCACAAAGTGCCGGGACGTACACATTACGTCTCCCGTCACGAAGGGGTTAAGATTTGAAAATGAAAGTGAGAAGCTGATTGGTTGCCATGCGCAGCTGCTCCAGACTTGATACATTTCTACAATTCCCTTCATTGCGTTTTGAATGGCTTCAGCAGGGGAATGACTGCTTGCAGCGAAAGATTCTGCAGCCGATAGCTGAATGTAATCACAGCAGGCAGTGGGCGGGTGCAATAGCCAGCCTACTATTGGCTATTTTAAATTGCAATCGCCAATAGCAGGCTGGCTATTGCACCCGCCCACTGCCTGATGTTGATCAGCAAAGGAGGACCTGAAGGAGAAAGTTCAGGTCCCTCCTCTGCTGTGTCTCCTACAATGGGAGCAGCGGGGATCGGAGGGGACACAGTCGAGGTTTGGGTGAGCTCTCCTCACTGCTAGGCACTGGCTGCAGGGGTCTCTATCCCCTGATACAGAGCCAACGGGACACAGAGCCAATGAAACACTAGCTCCCAGAGGTGAGAACTAGGGGGATCCAACCAACTAATCGATGATGAGAATTGTTGACAACTATTCTCACTATCGATTAGTTGGATGCAGCCCTAAACCTGACATTGCGAGGCTAGCCCCACTGCAAGGGTATGTTTTTTTTTTTGTTTTGTTCTTTAACTTGACAATCACTATGACTAATTTGTCTACCTAAATAATGTTTACATCCAGGATTTATACAGCTTTTATTTGGTATACAGTTTGATATTTATTGTAGGCGGAGAAATGGACAAAAACTGGAAAAAGTTGTGTGAAATTACAGAAGATGAATTCTCATCCAACGCATTATATATGTTCTATTGATTTCACTGGAGGGCCCACTCACAGCACTGATCTGCATTACCATAATGTACGTCCTGTGGGTTGCAGTGCCATTCATAGTGAATGACATCCCAGTGTAACATAGCAAATAGTGACCCCATTCCCTGGGCTGCACTAGAGAAAATGACGTCATAGGGAGCGATTTTTGTTTTTTCTTATGTGTTTCAATAGCCTGCTGCTGTAACTACATAGAAATCCTTCTGCGGAAACACACAAATCCCATCCATAGGTCCGTGTTCTGTGCTTTTCTTGTGGGGGGAGCTGACTCAGCACATCTGATAGGAGGCCGTGGTGTGCTTCATGGCTGTTGGGTCAGCTGACTATTGTACACAAAGCGAGTTACACCTGAACAATGCTTTCATTGGTGTTTGTGCTTGGCGTGTTCCCTAACATTAGCCTTTTAAAGACTTTTATAAACTGTCATGGACAATATTTATGTTTCCGGATAACTGTATTAAAATAGTAGGTGCGCTGTACTTGGAGGTGTCTATAGACATACATATAGTCCTAAATGCTGTGAGCTCATGGTATAGATCACAGCTGGACAGATTATCAGTGTGTGATCAATAGGAACTGATAAGTCTATACACTGAGTGGCCAGATTATTATGACCACCTGACGTTTGTTGGCAAATTAGCTATAATTTTGCGCTGAAGTTGCTAGAGGGCCAGACCATTATAAATAGGGAAGCAGGTTGTTTACCACGACGGTAGAAGTGATTTTTTCCTGAAGATACGGGGAAACAACGCGATTTAACAGCCTCTGAAAGTGGGATGATTGTTGGCGCTCGGAGCCATGGAGCGACTATCTACTGTCATGGACAATATTTATGTTTCCGGATAACTGTATTAAAATAGTAGGTGCGCTGTACTTGGAGGTGTCTATAGACATACATATAGTCCTAAATGCTGTGAGCTCATGGTATAGATCACAGCTGGACAGATTATCAGTGTGTGATCAATAGGAACTGATAAGTCTATACACTGAGTGGCCAGATTATTATGACCACCTGACGTTTGTTGGCAAATTAGCTATAATTTTGCGCTGAAGTTGCTAGAGGGCCAGACCATTATAAATAGGGAAGCAGGTTGTTTACCACGACGGTAGAAGTGATTTTTTCCTGAAGATACGGGGAAACAACGCGATTTAACAGCCTCTGAAAGTGGGATGATTGTTGGCGCTCGGAGCCATGGAGCGACTATCAGCAAAACAGCAGAATTCGTTAAATGTTCAAGAGCAGCTTTGTTAAAGTGTTTAAAGACTGGACTGTCAGCCGAAAATCTGGGTCTGAACGTGCGAATTGTGGCCGTCAGCGACTAGCCAATGTTAGGGCAGAACGGAGAGTGGCAAGACTGGTACAAGACAACAGAAGGGTAACAGTGCCGTGTCAGATTCCTCGCATCACCTTTCAACATCTCGTGGAGTCACGAGGCGGCCCAACAAAGTCATCTCATGGCCCAACGAAGTACTGATGGGGTGGTCATAATAATCTGGCCACTCAGTGTATAGCTGCGGTGGCCAGTCTGAACCTATCACCTGAGCATAGAGATCTCACCGAGAGACTGTCATCTATCCCAAACCGCAGGTAATCGTACCATGTATGAATACATGCTGACACGTATGGCCGCTGTCACACTGTCATTGAAAGAGAACTATGGCCTAACCTTTTTTGGCCGTAGTTCTCTTCAGGGACACCCATGGACATTTACTCGCCTCCTGTGACCCAAAAATCCACATGTAACAGGCTGTAAAAGAACAACAACAAAAAACTTACCTTTGCAGTGGGGCAACCCCCACAATGCAGGAGCTAGGTGCTCATTTTGTCTAGGGGGCTCAAAAAACCAGATATACTTGCCTGATTCTCGTCCCATGGGGGTCAGTGCTCTGCCTCTCTAGAGCCAGAACCAGCTGTGCCCGCCCCCTCCCATGTCTGTCCCTTCATTCAGCGCTGTGGGGAGGAGTGACTGGAGTCACTGCTCTCTGCAGGGAGAAGATAGGGAGCTGAGCGATCGGCAGTATGTGATTACTTCTTTATCAATAGAGCCGACATGTGACAGCTTCAGGTCACATATTTGTTCTAATTATGGGGATGAGTTTATTTCACTTCTTATGTATTTATACAGCACCAACAATTCATGCAGCACGTCAGTCAAGGAGCTTACAATCTAAGGTCCCTATCTCACATGCATTCATATGAGGGTGGATTCAGAGAGGAGCCACTTAACCTTCCAGCATGTCTTGAGTGTGAAAGGAAACCGGAGTACCCTGAGAAACACAAGCACAGGGAGAACATGCAAACTCCTTGCAGATAGTGACATGACTGGGATTTGAACCGGGGACCCCCCAGTGCTGCAGGGCAGAAGCACTAACCATTGTCCCACCCCTATTAACTTGAATAGGCACAGCGACCACATCTGAACGGGCACACATGGGATTCCTGCTGCAAGAATATGTAGGTTCCTGGCACAGGTATCCCCAATCGCACATACATCCCCACATACATCACCGTGTGAATGAACCCTATGAAATTACCACTTTTCTTTCCTTCACCAAGCTGGTACCACCAAATCCTGTTTGTTTTCTCTTCAGTGTCCCACCACGCCTGAATCCCCAGCTATTGGCTCAGCTTCCAAAGTCTAGAGCAGGGCAGGCAAACGTTGACCCTCCAGCTGTTGTGGAACTACAAATCCCATGAGGCATTGCAAGATTCTCACAGCCATGACTCCCAGAGATGGAATTTGTAGTTTCACTACAGCTGGAGGGCTAGAGTTTGCCCACCCCTGGTCTAGAGCCTGGCATCAGCTCCCACTAAACCTTCCAATTGACTCATCACTGTATTGTGTGGCTCCATAACAAATGAGCTTGAATACAAACCCTCACTTACCTATGTAGGTACAGGAACTGTGGGGCAATTCATCCTCAAGTTTATAGAAGCACTGTGGTATTTATCTCTCCACACCTCTGCTCACCCCCCTCCCCAGCAGGGCTTACTTTGCATTGTGACAGAGCACATATTGGCACTACGTAAAGGTAAATCTTTTCTTGCCTGGCGATTTAATCCACGGTCATGATATGTCCATTCCTGTTTGAGTGGAGCTTGTTTTACTGTAATAGCGTGTACTGCCTTCACCCGCTGTGAGTCTGGAAAAGGCAGGAAAACAACACAATGCAAGCGCATTTCATAACTGATGTGTTTTCCTTTAACAGCTGCAGATCTGGGACACTGCTGGACAGGAACGTTTCCGCACAATAACCCAGAGCTACTACAGGAGCGCCAATGGAGCCATCATCGCCTATGACATCAGCAAGAAGAAGTCCTTTGAGTCTGTTCCTCGCTGGATAGAGGACGTTAAGAAATACGCCGGCTCCAACATTGTACAGCTGCTGATCGGTGAGCAAAATTGTCTCACACTTCCCCTTCTCCTTGTATGCAGATAGCATTGTAGACTTACAGAAAATGACTCTGATATATTCAATTCCCATTCTTCTGAACTCACACCAGCCACACATGGCTAGACTTCTTTCTTTCATGCCCTTGAGCTGAAATGGGAGAGATGACTGGATTTCCCCGTCCCTACTAAACAGCTTGGATAGAAGAATCTCCCCTGCCAGCTACTGTATTCAGACAATCGGTACCCACTGCAGTACGAATACCTGATCAGTCACAGCATCTGATTGGCTGCAGTCAGACTCCAGTTGACCATTTTCCACCGGCTCCTTTTTTTCAATAGAAGTCTGTTGAGCCAGGTGGTGCTGACACTTCCAGTGGCTGATCTCACCTCCGCTTACTGAATCTGAAAACTACAATGATTTTGTCACTTCCGGTTTCACGTTGTCATTTCTCAGGCTGCTGTAGCCGGAGAAGCTGATGAACGAGGTCGTGTTTTTAGTAATCATAATTCAGAATTCTTCTCTAACTGGGTTATTCGTCTTTTTGAGGGCCAGTCCACACCAATTACGGTGCGTTCCAGAGCATTTGTTTGCGTTCGCACTGGACTGGAACGCAGGCGTTGTTTTGCCACGCATCCGATCGCCATTGACTTCAATGCACTGCCACGCCCCCTCCTGCCCCAGAACGAAGGGGGGAGTTTAGTGTGCGATTGCAGTGCGTTCCAGCAGCTACTGCTCTGATTGGTGTGAACTGGCCCTAAAGCTTTCCAGTATAATTTTTAAATAGCTTCCTTTGTCTTTCTACAGTCCTAAGTATGGTTTGAACTTTGACCTATTCATGCTATGAGTGGCCCTGTCGCCGCCACAGACTTGGCAAAAGTTGATTTCCAAATGGAAGGAGCCAGTTTCCTTATGCTGTTTAGCATGGATGGGGGAATCAAGCAATTCCATTCAGTCCGCGGGGCTGAACAAGAGAAATCTATGTCTAGCGTTAGGTGCCTTGTCAAGGAGGTGTGTAAATTCCTATCCCCTGACACCCGGGACATGCAATTCTGGGCACTAGGCAGGTGTTTTTTTTCCCCCTACATTTAGCCCTGCTGGCAAGCAGGGCTAAATGTAGAGCAGGGAAGCCGCCGCTCATTTTGTAAAAGTGACAACCTTTGTACTGTACAGCCGCCCAGATCACTTGTAGCACACTGCTTGTCCTTCCACCCTGCGGAGATTTTCTGGGTACCACGTTTTTTCTGGATGGAAAGCGGGGAGCAGACCGGAGAACGGTCTGTGTGATCAGTGAGACGGGTCCTGTACTCGCAGTGCTTCTTGTCTCAGCTGTTGGGCTGCACAGAGATTGTGCACACTTGATATTCTGTATTGGAGGGCAGGCTCCATAAAGAGAACCCGTCACCTCCAAACACTATCACAAAGGGGCTTGTTAGCCCCTGTGTGATAGTAATAATGTTAAGTGAAAAAAAGTGATTTAAAAAATAATAAATATTAAAAACAACCCCATTGCACCTGCCATCTGCATGCGAATGGGCATTGTGTGTGTGCGTTCTGCCCCCATTCCACTGTGTGCTATATTGTGGTCACCGGGCAGCAGTGCTCTCCGAGACCCACAGTGTGCATTAAAGAGTAAGTTCACTCTCCCTAGTAATTTGGGAAAATGGAATCTGGCCCCCTCAAAGTCCCCCCCCCCCAAACCTACCTTCCGGCGAAAGGTCCTACCCCTCCGCCGGTACGGGTGTACTATCTGTACCCTGTACTGCCATGCCATTGGGAGCACTCATTGGTCAGCACAGCCACCTGACCACGCTGACCAATAAGAAGCGCTTGTTAGCATAACACGTCAGTCGGCTCACTATAACCAAATCTGTAGGTTAGCCTTGTGGTATTTACAGGGAAACCTGAATATATTTTTCTACCTGATGACGCAAATGCTCAGATGCGTCAGATACATAGGTGGAGTGTGTTTGACTGCCAGGGTTCTGCTTTGCTCTTCATCCTTTTTGCTTGTAAGTTGTCCTCTAGTCATCTGCACTCACTCTGATGTACCAACATTAGGGATACCCTGTCAGGGTTTGTGCAGCTCTGGAATATTTGTTCTCTATTGTTTTTAGTCTTTTCTTGTTTCCATTGAGTGTCCTTCCTGAACAGCTGTTCCCCCGGACAGGAGCGTGACTGAGGTGTATCCACCTGGGTCACCCAGCTATCACTAGTGAGCTATCCATATGCTCTCGGTCTTAGTGTGTTGAGAAACTAAAAGGAATAAACCTTACATAAACCCTTGTGGTTTCTTTATAGAACGAGAGGACATCAATAATGAAGGTGATCTGTTTTTGATAATGCACCATAAGCCGGTGGTCTTAAGTGAACCTGTGCCGTGGCAATGTTGGCCAAAACAATAGGTGCACTTTAATGGGAGGCCCAACAGCAGCTTATACTTACCCTCTCTTCACTAATTTGCGGTCCTCTTCAGGTGCTAGGAGTGAAGAGTATTAGCCATGCGAGGGCTATTGGTTGCATCTTGGAGCTTACACAGAGCTGCGCTTCCCCCCTTCCCCAAGCATAAACCTTTATTGCCTTGCCTTATGTAATAGTTCTGGGTGCCTTGACAGCCAGTCACCAAGAACCAGCACTGTCACATGGGAAGGAAAGGGAATCACATGCTCAGAAGTACCGAGTATATTTTTTTGTTCTCGTGGCAGGATAGCGAAGTTATGTATAAGCTGCTGGTGGGGCTGTCATTAAAGTCTTTGTAAACCAGAAAAATGAACTTCTCTGATTTTTGCTTCCTTTTGGTTTGTTAAATATACCATTGAAAATTTTTTAAAGCGCAAAAAATACCTGTTGATCCTGCCAGAAATCTGGTGAGCTCCCATGCTCCGGTGCACATGCTCTTGTCTGTTTTTGCTCGGGGAGTAAGTGATAGTATGTTAACAGAGGGCTGTACATAAACTAATGTTATATGGGTAGTCCATCTGACTTGTTCCCAGGCGCCTCTTTTGGGGCTCTATATTCTTTCTGTACATTTCTGTTCTCCCCTGGCTGTGTCCTGCACCCAGTCTGTTCTGATCTTTCACCAAGAGCAGAAATCGCAGTGGAAAGCAAGGCGGTGTTTGTTGCCCACTGGTCTGGCTTAGTAATGCTTTAGAATTGTAACAACTTTTGCAAACATGAACATCACTGACCATAGAGACCTGTGGGTTCTACTCCCTATGAAAACGCCAAACCGGCCAAAACCTGTCTCTGAAGTTTTTAAAAAAGAAAGTCATGTTCCAGGCTAGCGTTACCACGACCAAAGGCCTACTTACTACATAAGTCTAGGGCTGCAACTAATGATTATTTTCATACTCGATTAGTTGGCCGAATATTTTTTTGATTAATCGGATAGAAAAAATAAAATAAACACCATCCGTAATTAAAAATAAAATACACAACTTCAGTGTTATAAACATAAAGTTTACTTTAGAATAAAACTGCATGCACAATTTTTTGCAATCACACCACACTGGAAAGCACGGCATTTCAGTACGGTGCGTTCCAGTGCGGGCGTTCACACTGTGGATGGGAGGCGTGTTTGGGGTACCATTGAAAGGAATGACACTGCAACGCACCGCCCGCAGCAGAATTTGTCAGGCTGAAACCGAAAATGACTTTTTTACCCTTTTTTATAATTTTTTCTTTAACCTCCCTGGCGGTCTGATTATCTCAGTATTTTTTCTCTTCACTTTTTTTTTTTTTAATTTTTTACTTTTAAATTTCCCACTGGTTCCGCTCCACTGCGACGTGGGCGCTCGTAAGGGAAGGAACCCGGAAGATGGATGCCGGCATCAGCCGTAGGACACAGCAGGGCTCGTAGGGACAAGGTAAGTGACGCTACAGTGTAATCCCGAGTGTGGCTCGGGGTTACCGATTTTTGATACTGAAAATGAACCCCGAGCCACACTCGGGATTACCGCTAGGAAGTTAAATAATTGTATTGTAAGCACATGGCACTTGACTAGCTTCAGCCAGGGAGCCAGGGAATGACAGCGGCCAGTGGCAAGATTCCACAGACGGCACCTGAATGTAAATACAGCAGGTAGTGGGCTGGTGCAATAGCTAGCCTACTATTGGCCATTTCAAATTGCAATAACCAATAGCAGGCTGGCTATTGGACCTGCCCTCTGCTTGCTGTGCCCTCCCCCCAGTGTGGAGGAGAGAGCTAGGGGATCCAACCAACTAATCGATAATGAGAATAGTTGACAACTATCGTCATTATCTATTATTATCATTTAATTGATTAGTTGGTTGCAGCGATACATAAGTCTTCAGAGACTGAATAATAGAGACTGTGCCATGGCTCTAGACATGAAGAGTGCAGACCACACCTCACAGAGGTCTGAAAAGTGCCACAATGCAAAACCCAGTGCCTGAAGGTCACATTTCAGGCAAACCCTGCAATCTTTAGTCCAGGCACGGCCCCCTAAGCTGTTGATGGTTGCTTAGTATACACCATTATAGATAAATGCTAGGTAGAGACAGGTTTAGCCGCATTTCTTAAAATGTTACAGATGACACACAAAAAAAAATATGTATGGATTATCTTAAATGAAGAAAAAACAAAATATAAGGCAAAATTATAGTTAGTTTTTTCTGAGCAGAGCTAAGGAAAAGGCGTCCAACCTCCTAGGACACTGAGGCATGATGCTTGGAGGTGGTGCTAAACGGTGGCTGGGTTAACATGTTTTGTTTGCCAGAGTCCAAATCTCCTGATGGCAGCAGTATAACCCAAACCCTCAATGGATGGTAAGGAAAAATAATGTACACTACGGGAGGGTAGACTGCGAACACTAAAAGGTATCATGTGCAAGAACCAGGACCTCACCGAAACAAAAAAGAACTCTCTGGGACTCGAGGGGATTTAGGAAGGAAAAAAAAAACGAAACTCAAGTGGTTAGTGAAAACCAACTGTAAGACTTTGCACCGCTTTTCTTTTAATGCACCTGCAATGTATTCAGCCGACTACAACTGAAAGTTCAATCAAAGGATCATCTGTGGTCATTTAAACACAAAAAAAGGTTTCTGTCTAGGTTTCTCTTCATATCTTTAAAGCTATTCTAATTGTAAACATGTTCCACTTCACTAAAGGACGTATGACGTGGATCAGTGGAATTCACCGTATTTATTATAATATTGAATCTTGCATTAAAGTCAAACATCATTGCCCGGGGGGTTTTAATTCTTGTCATTGGTGGTAATCGTAGTGAGGTCAAAAAAAAAGGAAGACATTACACTCACAATACAAATCAAGACACAATGGTAAGGAGGGCCTTGCCCATGAGGGCTTACAATCTAGGGAGGGGCAAGTGATACATGAGGCGGTAGCTGTGTGGGGATGAATTGTTTGAGAAAATGATAGGTCAGTGGTTAGGTTGAGGTGGGATAGGCTTCCTAGAAGAGATGAGTCTTTAGGGATTGCCCAAAGGCAGACAGATAGGAGATAGTGGAACAGGTTGGCGTAATGGGTTCCAAAGGATGGGAGAGACTCTAGAGAAGTCCTGAAGGCGAGCATGGGAGGAGGTGATGACGGAGCTGGAAAGAAGGAGGTCTTGGGAGGAACAGAGAGGACAGTTAGGGTGATAATTTGAGACGAGATTGGAGATATAGCCGGGGCAGAGTTGTGGATGGCTTTGTAAGTGGTTGTTAATATTTTGGATTTGATCCTCTGGGTGATCAGAAGCCATTGGTGGGATTGGCAGAAAGGGGTGGTGGCCACTGAGCGGTTGGTAAGTGGATGAGCCTAGCAGCAGCATTCAGGATAGACTGAGGGTCTATCAGATCTAGATTGGGGGAGGGGATAATCAGTTTTTGAAAGATTGCATTTTAGGAAGTGTTGTGTCACACCAGACTGATCTATCAGTAAATTATATGGTTTAGTGATTCCCACAGCTCAGTGAATTGTCCCCATGGAGCCAAATGTAAAGTATCAACAGTATGAGTTACTACCTCTCAACAACTCGTCATCTTCTCCCTTTCCTAGTATAACCTGCCATAGCAAGAGTAAAGTGAGGAACTGATATGTTGAGAGGAAGTATAGACTGTTCTTCTGTCCGACACTTTTATATATGATGCTTATTGTGCTTTCTCTTACATTCAGAAATGTTTTTCAAAGGACTATAGAATAGCAGCCAAGGGTAGGCAACCTGGACACTCCAGCTGTTGTGGAACTACAAGTCCCATGAGGCACTGCAAGATATAACTCCCAGAGGCAGATGCACAGTGGGATTTGTAGTTTTAGCTAGGGATGCACAGATACTTTTCAGATACCAGTGCTGATACTTGACATTTTTATGAGAACTATCCGGGTTGCAGCTGGGACCGGGCTCTGGCGCTCCACCACTGTTAGAAAAACTGTCACATGACAATAAACAAAAATGTATCAGTACTCGTATCTGTGAGTACTTGGACAAGTATCAGTACTTGTACTTGCAATAATGGTATCGGTGCATCACTTATATATATTTATAGAAACAAAATCGTACATTAAAACTGAGATGTACACATCTCAGGAGTTCCGCGTGCTCCTTACAAATGACAGCTGCCTCCTAACTTCTGAGTTTTTCTCTAGTCTAGTCTTGGTGCTGGAACAGTATCTGTACTTGTACCGAGTACGGTACTTGGTATCGGCGCATCCCTAGTTTTAGCAGAGCTGGAGTGCCGAGGTTGCCTACACCTGGATTAGCATGTTAATAGTTGTGTGATGATGGTGGACCTGTATCTGCAATATCTTTTGATTGGGTAACCTTTGTCCCTCCAGGAAACAAGTCTGATATACATGATTTACGAGAAGTCCCACTACAAGATGCTGAGAACCTGGCGAAACATTATGACATCATTAGCGTCATCGAGACCTCCGCAAAGATTTCCAGTAACGTGGAAGAAGCTTTTGTGAAGATGGCCATGGAGCTGATGATGAGGCATGGCGGACCGGTCTTCAGCGAAAAGTCCACGGATAGTATAAAACTTGACAGCAAGGACATGGCCGAAGAGTCCTGGGGGTGCGGCTGTTGATGACCGTCGTCTTTTCTAGTACATTGCGCTTAGTTCTAGAGATGTGTCATCACTATATGGGCTTGTCCACTTTCCTATAAACTATAACCCCCAATATGCAGCTTGTATGTTGAGAGTCTTAGTTGGTTTTAAGGCAGCCGGGCTTACGGTTGAAGTAGAACTCCGGACAAACTTTTTTTTTTAGTTTTGTAGAGAGGGGAAAATCTGTCTGTGTCCTCACTGAAGGTTTCCATTCACTTCTTGTTGTCTCCGAATCTTGTAGAGGACACAAAACAGGAAAAGGACCTGAATTAGAGGCTAGAATCCTTGTGAGGCATTTGATCTATGTCCCCTGTTGAGCATTTCTTACTTCCTTTTGTGTAACTGGGACAGGAAGTGAGGATGAATATCTCCCAGGGGACTAAAATGAAATAATCTGAGGTTCTAACCAACACTGCTTCTCTACCCAAAACTAAAAGAAAGGTTTTTCTTGAGAGCTCTACTTATCGTCTCTGTTGGACAAACTGCTCATAAAAGCTAATCAGGTTTAAGTCTTTCTTTCTCCAGTACAGCTCTTCAGACATGAAATGGAGAATCTGATTTGTTGCGGAGGAAGCACTTTTTACTTTACTCTCAGGCCTTGTTCACATGGGCTTCAGCTTGTATAAGAGCAATGTATACACTAAGTGTTTGGCATGCTTCAAGCAACCATGTTGGAGCTTTTCAGTCCCAGTTTTGGGAGGTAAATAGATCTTAATGGGAGTGCTGTCACTTTAAAAAAGATTCAGCAGGTTGTCCTGAAAGTGATATTGAAGTCAAAAGGTGTTTAAGCCATTTCCAATGCTGATTAAATCACTTACAATGGATGCTGCTCCTTTATGATTAAAGCAGAACTCCAGTCATTTTATTTGTATTAACCCTTGCAGTGGGGATACCCGTACGCTGCAAGGGTTAAGTGTTCATTTGTGTCTAGGGTCACAAGTATATACTCAGTCAAAGCTCCGAGCTGGCCAGAGACGGCGCTCCCTTCAGCCTGTCTCCTTCTCCGCAGCACATTGCAATATTCCTCAGCGTCCTTGCATATATGCGCAATGTATAGACGTGATGATTTACTGGACCTTAGACCACTGCAGAGGAGGGGGAGAGACATTCCAGGGGCTGGTCTAAGCAGAAGCCGGCTTTGGGTGAGTAGAGCTTTGGTTTTTTTTTTAACCTTGACACAAACGAGCAGTTAACCCTTGCAGTGTGGGGGAAGCCCCACTTCAAGGGTTAAAAATAAATAAATCCTGAAGTTCTTTTAAAAGTTTTCGTTTCCTGCAGAATCAGCTGGTACCCCGAGCACTGGCTCTGATATCCTGTTTTAGGGTAGCTCCTTTCCCCTGCAGGGTCCTATGGAGCAACCCTTGTGTGTGCTAGTAAGCTGTGTGCGGCTCCACAAACACACAGGCACAGCAAGGCAAGCTGCTCCCCTCCTCCAGGCTAGTAGATGGACAGTTGCTGAGGACCGCTCTGTCCCTTGTGATCTTGTACTGGACGGGAAGTTTAGTGGAGCTGAACTGCGAGAGAATTGGAAACAGGATGATTGTAAGTGCTTGGGCAAAAGGGTTAGAAAACTACTTTTATATTTGTTCGATTTGGATCCCTAAATTAGGAAAATGTCACTTTTGGTAAAATGCCAAAAGTGGCATCTCTTGTCCGAAATTGTGGCGCATCCCTGGTTTCTCTCCTCCCCGCTGGGCGCTGCTCTGTGTCCCCTCTGACACAGCATGCAGCGGGGAGGAGAGTAACTCACAACAGGCTGAGCGCGTCAGAAGCGATATAAGCGGCTGGGGTGTGACGAGAGCTCAAGCTCTGCTACTACACCGCACCGCTGATGAGACAAATCAAGATAGATAGCGCCGGTGCAGGGGAGGAGTCAGCTGTCACAGAAGGCCGGGCTGGCGATGCAGGGGAGGAGTCAGGTGTGACCAGACTCCCTGCACTGCTTGAGACTCGAGCAATCCTCCCTGCACTGCTTGCTCAGCCTCCTGTGAGAGCGAGTACAAGCACTCAGTGATCGCTGACTGCTTGTAAATAATTGAGGACAGAGTATGTTTTCTGCATTCCCAATTATGAATGAATGGGAAGTTCCATCACTTCCTGTTCATTCATGTTTGTGGTCATAGTAAACCTACTATCTCCAAGTTATCAATTAACAGGAACACTCAGTATAAAGGATTCCTGTTCATTTATAACAGGTCCTGCAGAGAAAGAGATTGAGGACTCTGTGTCCTCAATCTCTTTTTCTATTTAAAGGGGAAATATCAGGAGTCTGTTTAGACCCCCGATATTTCCCTGAAGCCCCCAGCAGTCAAGTAAAAAAAAAATGTAATAAAAATAAAATACTTTTTAAAAGGTTAGAAAAAAAATTTCAGATTCGACCTGATGATTTTTTTTTTTCGTTTCGGTTTTAAGAATGTCATTTCGGTGCCCCTCTAGTGTGTAATAGTACTTGAAGCCTACTACCGGTAGCAGCTTGTTAAACACGACAGTCGGCACTCTCAATAAGATCTTCGGTTAACATTCCAGAACTAGAGTTGAATGATACTTGAAATGCTTCACCCATCCTGTGAAGAGCTCTGTAAATGCTTGCTGTACACACCACTCTTACACAAGATAAAGCCCACGTGACCAAGGCCCTTATCACTTTTTACATGAGCAAAAGTGGAAATGGAGAACCAATGGCCAAACAATGTGGACCCGGTGTCCACCTCTAACGAGTGAGGCAGAACCTGTTGGTAGAGGGATCTGCGTACTGTAACTTGTATATGAACCACACCGATTGCCTTGTACACATTGGGCAGATTTCTGACAATGATACCGCATGATTTGAATAACTTAGTAGAACGTATTTTTTCATGTGGCAGCAAGCCACGGAACATGTGTAGCACCATCTGCATTTTTGTAGATATTTTTTCTAAACTTTGGAACCTTTTTCTAAGCAATTGGAACATAAAAGAAAATCTATTTTATGAATATTGTATTTTTCATGCTCGCTCTTTGGGCAGTTAGCCTCCTAATACCGGGGAATCATTCCTGAAGTTGTAGAACTTTTGGGTGACCAATTGAACATTTCAAGACGGGGAATTGTGTGCAATGTCTCAATCATCATAGTATCACGTAACATTTCAGAGGATGTTTGATATACTCAGTGTTTTCTCTAGAGATGATATTTCTCACCAGCAAACGAATTTGAAATAATTTTAGAAGTATGAAATAAATCATTTTAGAAGTACGAGTTTGGCTTACTTGTGATAAAGGTATGACTAAGCAGTCATTGTGTGCAACAATAAATGGGACGTTGTGTCGCTACATAAAACCGTGTCATGGACCGCCGTAGGTAACTAATTCCTGACATAAAGGTTTTTTTTTAAATTCAAACCTTGCTGTTGTCTTTGTTCTTTTTAAGAGAACCTACATAGTTACATAGTATTTGGGGTTGAATAAAGACATACGTCCATCAAGTCCAACCCATATAATCAATTAACCTGTCACTTAAGGCACCATTCACACTAGATCGGCCGGCACGTACAGCTCCGTGTTGCATGCACAGTCGTATCGGGCAGCTCCCGGGAAGGACAGGTGCTGCGTGTGAATAGTAGCAAGGCCCTGTCCTTCTCTATGGGACTACGCGGCCCTACACTCACCCGCCTTGCACGTCCGTGCCAATAAATGGATCCTGTCTGCGTCCGAGCCAGGAAACACGCATCCGCACGGACCTGCACTTGAGGTAAGCGTAGGGGGGCGTACAGCCGCGTAGTCCCATAGAGAAGGACGGGGGGTGCGTACTAATCATACGCAGCACCTGTCCTTCCCGGGAGCTGCCCGATACGGCCATGCACGCAACACGGAGCTGTACGTGCCGGCCGATTCCAGTGTGAATGGGGCCTTAAGGTTAAAGCGGTACTCCGAGCAAATCAATTCTTAACCCTTGCAGTTACGTAGCTCCCCTGAAGGTTAAGCGCTCCTTTGTCTAGGGAGCTGAAATAACAAAGTTATACTCACCCGAACCACAATCCCAGCTTGCTCTTAGACCGCTTGCTTCATCCCTACTCCCCCTGCGCTCCAGCGGTCTAATGTCCTATGAGTCATCATGTTCTATGCAGTGAGGACACTGAGAAACATACCATGAGGGAGCGGTGTAGGAGCCATCCGGGATCATGGTTCGGGTGAGTATAACTTTATTTAAGCTTCAGTTAAGTAACTGCAAGGGTTAAAATTCGATTTGCCCGACATACTGCTTGAACTTTAGGATAAGCAAACATTGTCCAAATACAAGAGACATTTGTATATTCTTTTTTTAACAGTAGAAGAGGCGGCATGTGTATTTTTACTTCTTGGTGTGCTTTGTGTATTTCTTCCAGACCTGTGCAGCATGTGTAGTCTGTACAGTGTACAACTTTGCCTGTGTAGCAGCTTCCTGTAGTAAAGACCAGTCACTGCTGGGCTCTATCCTTGTGCAGGGTGACTGGTCTTGTACCCACCCCCTCCTGTTGTTTTCTGCAGCCAGCCTGTAATGGGAGGAGCTGCTAGGCCTCTCCCAGAGCTCTGCTTAAGCTATGTGCAGCAAGTAATGATGTCATGGCTATGTATACAAAGTAATATCTGGGCTTACAAAGGGATATGGTGCTCACAATGTAGATTTATAGCCTTTGTTGTTATTCAACATATTTCGGGTTTTATTTTTTGTGCTCAAATTTCAACTTGAAACAATTGTGTTTTTAAGTGCTTACTTGCAGTGTTATTTTGTTTCTTGTCTTTCTTTTATCAATGTGCCTTTAAGCTTGCAAGAAAATTTGACTACACCAGAGAAGATGTTCCCTAGTACTAGGGATGCACCGATACTAGTATCGGTGCCGATACTGAGTATTTGGGTGAGTACTCGTACTCGCCCAAATGCTCCGATACCTAGCACGAGTACTTCCTGTATCAAGAAGCCGGGCAGCGCATCATTACACGCTGCCCGGTTTCCTGATTGGCTAGGAAACGGCTCCATGCTCTCTCGTCACTTGTGATGAGAGAGCATGGAGCCGACTTCCTGGCCAATCAGGAAGCCGGGTAGCGTGCAATGACGCGCTGCCCGGCTTCCCGATTGGTAAGGAAGCTAGCAAATCCGAAAGCTGGGTACCGTGTAATGACGCAGCGCCCGGCATTCTGATTGGCCGGGAAGCTGGCGT